TTTTATTAAAACCTAATCAAAATCAATTTTATATTGTCGTAAGTCAATAAAAATCATAGATTTTTAAATATTAATTTTATTATAAATTTTCACAAATAATATGTATATGAACAAAAATCAAAAATGTCTACATTAAAAGAAATTTTTACATTTTTTAATTCTACTTTTAATTTTCTTAATTAGAGAATTGATAGTAACATGTTTAGAATTATCGATAAATATATATTTGTACATTTATAAAAAATTAAAAGCAAAAATAAAAATATATGCACATAATATAACATAAAATAATATAAAATATCTAAATACTTGATGTAATTTTTAATAAATTTTTATTTAAATTCTATTTTTATTCTTTGCTCATTTGCATTACATTTTACAATTTAATTAGGGATTCAATTGTTAAAAATAATCCATCTTGAATAGCTTAAGAACGCTTGTAAATAAATTCGAAAACATTAAAAATCATAATTTTCAATATTATTAGAATATTTTCAATATTAATTGATTATATATTATATTTCAAAGTAACTTTCAGAAAAACTATTGAATTGTTATAATTTTTTGAAATTATAATTTATAAATTATTGAACCATGATATATATTATTATTTTTTTCATGTTTAAATTATAATTTGTATTATTACGTACTCTTAACACTAACAATATTTGAGATATCTAATTAACAACAAATTCCTATAATTCTGTTCAAGATATAAATTCATATTTGAATAGAGTAACGATGATGATTTAAAGGAACACGAACAATTACAGCATTGAAAAATAAAACCTTTTTTAATTATCTATTTCTTGCGCAAAATTGTCTAAATTAAATTGAAAATGCAACTTCATGACATGAGATATATTCGCTAGAAAATTATCAACACGATCTTTGAAGAGTTTAATTGTAATAACGATAAATAATAAATGTTCATTGAGAAAAAATAACAAATAAATAAACTAAACTGATAAGCTATATAATATTAAAAAATATAAAGATTAAATATAAAATTGATCTAAAAAAAAAAAGAAAAAGAAAAAATGCATAAATATTATTGAATCAATGCACTTTTTCAATAAACTATTTCATGGCAATGGTTCGCTTCAGTTATAAATAGAGTATCGATAAAAATTATTTTTAACGAATATTAAAGGAAAAAATTAATATGAAAGTTGATAAACAAGAGATTTGTTCAAAGTGTAAACTTCGATAGAGTTTTCACAGAAAAGATGCACTGTACAAAATTTTACCTATTACAGTGAACCTCTATGGCGAATTTACATAACATTTCAACTATCGAAAAATACGTAGCATGTGCACGTATGATAAATCTTGTTATAAATATAAATAAATTAGAAACAGATAAAATACACAACACTTACTAGGACTTAGCACCATTAAGAATTACAGAATTGATAATCCTTGATCGTTGGTTGCGTTTATAGCACTTTTGTGCGCACAGAACCATCTTGCTCAATTATTATCCTAAGTCACCCAAAGAGTTACTTTCCATTCAGTTCCGCCGCAACATGATCAATCGTACCGCGCAAAGCCGATATATTACATACGAGTATTAGCGTCTAAATTCTGGAAACGCATTCAACAATAACACAAACACTTTGAGAAAAATCCCAATGAACATGGTAAAATGAAAAAACGTTAATATGCACGTATATATACAAATCGACTGAAATTCATCAAGAACCATGTACGCGTAACGGACCACAAAAGGTTAGGAAGAGCAAAGTTTAGAATACGAATCAAGATTCGGCAAAAATAAACGACACGAAAATTTGTTATTATATATGTAAGTATAAATGTCGTGTTAACTAAAGACATGAAAATAACAGAGAAAATCCTAAGAAAAGAATGAAGCACAATTAATACACAATAAACGCGAGGAAAAATCGCGATATTAGGTTTTATATGGCGTACATTAGGCGCACAATTCTTACTAAAAATCACACCGAATTCGCGAAATTCACGTACCGCGTCTACTAGCTCCATCTTGACTCGTGAGTTAAGCCGGACGCGCACGTTCTTTCTGTTCGTCGTCCTCCTGGTCGTCGTCGTCGTCGTTATCGTCGTCGTCGTAGTCGTAATCGTCGTCGTCGTTCTGGTCAGCGTCTTCTACTCGTCTCTCACTCACGATATACTATCGCGCACACGTTGCTGTTACTCACTAACACAATAAATCCATTGTGAGAGAGAATTCCTGGCAGCACATTCCGCGTGTACGTAAGTACGGATACGAGGGTGTACGGTGGACTTCGGCGCGCGGCTCTCTCGGCTCGACTCGAGGCGATTCGAGCCGAGTCGCTTGCTCGTTCGCGGATGTCGTCACGAGGTGAGGGAAGAGGCAGAAGAAGAGAAAGACGTGGGGAGAGAGGCGGGAGAAAGGGAGCCGATACGAAAGGGGAAACTGGTGGGGCAATACAGTGAATGTAGAAGAAAGATGGAGAAACTTTAAGAGTAAAAGAAAGAAAGAAAGAGTAAGAAAGAGAAAAATAAGGAGAAAGAAAATTAAAGAGAAAGAGAAAGAGGATTAAAAGAGTGACTGTGAGGAAAGATGAGGGAGGAGAGGTAAGTACGTGTATGGTCGTCGTATAAATAGACGAGAGACGATATAGGCATCGTATAGTAAGACTCCTAGGGCAGGTAGTGGATACTCGTGACAGCGATGAAACTACCTCACTTACTTCCACCGTGACATGGAGAGTCACTGACACATAATACAAGAAGTTCGCGCACGTGCATACACATATACTGGCACGCACACATGTTCCATACGCAACTATGTTCCCACAAGAAAGCTCACGAACGAGCGCGAGCGAGCGAGCAAACGAATAGTACGCACACAAAAGAACATTCTCGCGGAGCGACTTCACACGCGCACGCGTAGCAACACACATATGTACACTAGAGCTGTGAATGCCATCGTTGCTGTGGTGTGTTGTCGTCGTGGTCTCGTAGACCGCCACTCCACCGTGTCACCTATGCCGTGAGTATTGACGATGAACGTAAGAGTCGACACGAATTCCCGGGAACCATCGACATCGCGCCACAACAATCCGGGCTTCTATTGCCCTTGCCACTGCTGTAATTTTCGTCGGCTCTTTCGACCAAATGCGCGTGCACTCACATCACGAAAATCCGTCACAGTAGACCAACCGACCAACCGGGAGAGATGGCGACTACAATACCACGACACGGTCATGACGTCGTCATCGGTGCATGTTCCATGATATTCTTATTTATCATAGTTGAAAAAACGTGAACCACTATACCACCAAATTATTGACATCTTTCCTTCTTCGAATATACATTTTTTTCTTTCTTTTTCACTCGAATTACACACGCGATCCCTCTCTCTTTCTTTCCGCCTCGTTCTTTCGCGTCACATGCACACGTATGAACTCAGACTCAGTTGCTCAACTGAACTGCCTGCGACTTGTCGAGCCATATAACCGAGCAGGCATCACGCACACATTCAATCACTATACTACTACCATTACCACCACTACCGCCACCGCTACCACCGCTACTACTACCTTCTTCTCCTCGTC